TCTTCTGTCGCAGCACTCTAGCTAGGTGAGTTCAATCAGCACTCCTATCCAAACACACACACACACACACACACACACACACACACACACACACACACACCCACACACACACACACACACACACCTCTTGACAAATTAATCTCATATTTGAAAGAGAAGTAGAGTGGGCTTGACCAGTAAGCCTATCTCTCTGATCCTTCTTTCTTCTGACTGGATTTTAAAAGAAGAGAGGTGGGGGGAATGGGGGATGTGGACGTACAGTGAAGGTAGGCTATGATTGCATTTTTACAAAACAAATGTAACATAACACTCAGCTTCTTATCAAACTGCATAGTTCCTGACTCTTGCCCATAGCCCAATGGAAGGAGACAAGAGAGAATAGAAAGCTGGAGATGTCAAGCCAAAAACTTAAAAGAAAAACGCCCCAGGCATATACTGTACGTGTGTGTGTGTGGTGTGTGTGTGTGTGTGTGTGTGTGTGTGTGTGTGTGTGTGTGTGTGTGTGTGTGTGTGTGTGTGTGTGTGTAAGTGTGTGGGTGTGTGTATGTGTGTGTGTGTGTGTGTGTGTGTGTGTAAGTGTGTGGGTGTGTGTGTGGGTGTGTGTATGTGTGTGTGTGTGTGTGTGTGTGTGTGGGTGTGTGTATGTGTGTGCAGCAAGGTGATTTTCTTTTTGATACTATTTATGTCCCTTTCTCTGTTGCTCCCTTTTTGGTTTCAGCTCTGAAATAAACAGTATTGTATTTGGATATTTGAGCATATGGAGAGAATAAAAGCAACAAAAGAGACAAAAGACCTTGCCGACGGAGGAATATTTTTGTTATCATAGTGTGAGAAAGGATGCCAAAAACAAGAGAAAGCAAACGGGAGACATCTTGCTTCCAGACTATGATGTATTGTACGCAGATTTGTATCCTATTTTGGAAAGAAGACCCCTTTATTACGAAACAGGACACGCAAAATAAAGGCTGCTCCGTCTGTGAAAGAGTTAATCCTCCAAGAAACTTTTAGTTTCATAATTTGCTGCCAATCACTTTGTAAGAAAAATAACCATAATGCTGCATCAAAGCTTTCCATATTCACTGATTCCTTTTTTCAATTATTAAACATGTTATGCTGACAAGAATGCTTCGCTGTATTAAGTGCATTCATTTTAAAACACAACTGTAAACACTGTGGCGCTATGAGATTTTTATAGGGTCATTTGGCGATATTATATTGCTTTTTTTCTTTCATTTTAATCGCAGCGCCTGCAATTTCCTGAGTGCAGAGGCCGACCACAGCCGAATGAATAGAGGAAACCCTAATTAGCACTGCAGGATTTGTTAAACAATTATTCTTGAGGATGGAGCAGTATTGCAGCAAGAAGGTAAATATTCGACGTTGTACAATGGCTACATCTTTAAGTGTCTTTGTGTAAGCCTCGTGGTCCAGCAGTCAGATTACCCTGAACTGGTTCCCTCACTTTTAAATTATCAGCGTGTGGCGAACACTGTGACACTTTGTATGCTATTCCAGCAATTATTCCTACCATGTGATGAGCACACAGAGGAAAAGGGGGGGGAAGGGGGGGTACAAACTCCCACTGGGCCTCGTATCATTTCAAGTCTGACTGCAGCTCTAAGTGTTGTACTCCATATTATAAACAACCTCTGATGCTTTCCACGTTGTCCTCTCACTAATTCATGACCCCAATTTTATTAAGGAAATTCAGTTTCACAGCAAACTTGCATGGGGCAAGGAGTAGAAAGTGTGTGAGCGATTCCATGGGAGAAAAGGAGCATTACAGTGCCAGGGGCTACTGCATTCCTGGAATGAAAATTCATAAATAATGCAAGGCTGGATAACAAAAAAGAACTCCCCCGCTGTCTCGCAGAGCAACGCGCTAACCAAAGGCCATGCAATATCAGTCAAATCTTAGAAAAACACAAATTATTAGACACAAGGAAAGATTATTTCTCTGTGAATTCTTGACTCAGGACAATTCATGGGATCTGCTTGCAGAATTTAACAAGCCTGGATTGGAATTATAACTAGGCTCAAAGCCAAGGAGCTGGGAAGTTTATTTAAATTTCCTCCAAAAAACACCATATGCACAAACCGCTTAACAACAACTAGATGAAAATTAAAAGTGAGTGTGCAACCGCTGAGAGAGATAATTACCATAGAGACCAACACTGACCACTAACCGCTGCTGAGTGGGCTGCATAGAGTTAATATGCGGCACAGTAACTTAGGACATTTACCTAAGTAATTAACTTAATCACAACTTCGAGGTAATTAGGTGTTCTGTTACTTTAGACTTCTGCTACACCGCAGGTTCAACTGGTGTACTTTTTTACTGTATCCACATATTGTACATACAATTTGGGGTGTAGTTGACATTACATAAGAAGCTACTGTGCACAATTGTTTTAATGTATAAAGTAAGTACTCGATGTTTTATTTGTTTTTGTTCTGGTAGCAGATTAGTCCATAGTGTATATTCTATATGATTCTGTATGTGTTATAGTGTGTATTCTTAGATACTCTTCTGAATATATCTTTAATAATGTGAATATGTTTGCTTTGAATGTTCTAATCTTTTTCTATTTTAAAGAATTTCTGGTACAATGACTGTCAACAATGCTGCTGCGACAACAATTTCCCAACTTGGAATACATAAAGAAAAAATCTATAAAGCGTCTTTATCTACTCGACGCCATGTATGTGTAAGTTATTTTGATGATTCAAATTAAGATGAATTTCACAAAATGTATAAAAACGTCTGATGGTTAAAACGTTATTGATCCCTTTGTGAAATTCAAAAGCTTAACCATACTTAAAGTAATCATACTACGCCAACCGCATATTATTAAAGTGATTAACTCATGAATGCATTACTAATTATAATCCAATAATATGATATATAATCCTAAAAATGGCCGCTGTGTAGAATGGGTGCTTCCATTTTTGCCACTTTAATGACATTTTGATGCAAGTACTTTGTTACTTAACTTAACCATCATCTCAAATGTTACTGTGACACTTTAGTTTTACCACTTGACGAGTTGAAATGTAACAGCCCGAATATCTGACTGATTGATTAGCCACATGGTTGGTTGACTGACACAAATGCCAACGCCTTATCAGTGGCATGTGCGCAGCATATAATTGGTGGAGTGACATTTCAATTCAAAGAGCTGTCCTCTAATTGTGAAAGGCGTCGCCATAATGGGTGTGCCATTTAAAATATGCACTTAATCACTGCTCATCACCACCTCCAACGCAGCAGATCTGCAGGGCCCAACAACATCCACATGTGGACGACAGGCTTACACACACACACACACACACACACACACACACACACACACACACACACACACACACACACACACACACACACACACACACACACACACACACACACACACACACACACACACACACACACACACACACACACACACACACACACACACACACACACTCTTACACACTTCGCCAGTCAGTAGCATGATGAGCAGCCGGCAGCTACAGCTCATCAACACTACAGTACAATGCTGAATTACAATCATCTCCAGGCCCCATGCATCATCTTCTGCAGTGTGTAAGTGACAAAGACACAAAAGGATTGTTTGTGTGTGTTATCTGACCTCCACGAACAGATGCTCTCTATTAATCCCAAAGAGCAAAGACAGACTGCCTCGTTTTTATTATCACTATCAATAATAACGTGCGTGCCGAGGAAGAATTAAGCATCAGTGTGTGAGCAGCGTCAGGTGACATACAAAGCAACACGGGCACAACATGCTGCATTCAAGTGTGTTTTTTTGGGGGGGATTTTATGATAATACAGTATGCATTATGGGTGAAACAATCCAAATATCAATACTAAAAGATTTCCACTGAGGCTGGAGGGGTAGTGCATCAGATGTATTTATTGACAAATTGTAGTTTCTGATTACAATGCATTCTCAAATGCATGATTTATGCAATTTCTATCCTATAAATCAAGATTAACAAACCAAAAAAGTGTGTCTGAGAGTTTTCTCGTTAATGGGAGAATATATTTAGACAATTACTCAGGCATTATTTGGTGTGTGTTTATTTGTTTTTCATACATAATTATTTATTTATTGGAAATATGCCTTCAGTGGTTTACTCCGAGCAATTATTTATAATCTACTGTGAAGGAGAGGAGTGAGGGAGGTCTAATTTAAATCTATCGGAGCATATCCATCCTGGTGCAATTTTCCCCTGCCTTCACAATAATTATGATTTATCAGAATGCATTCGCTCCCTGTTAATTATTTATTTGCCTTCTCACTATTTTTAAACACATGGAGGGGGGGGGGGGGGGGGGGAAATAATCATAGAGGTCAATAATTTAGTCAAGGGATGGCTTCAGCTGCTGCATCACACAGAAAGGTATAGAAGTTCACTGAGAGAAGAATAAACATGTCGCCTTGCTGGAACGTGCCAAAGTTGGACTTATGGAGATGTCTAGCCCGGTATCAGAGAGATCTATACCCCCTGGATCTCTGGTGGCCCTGCTGGCATCATTAGGCTACACCTTAGTAGTGATGGAGATGGAGTGGACGAGGCAGAAGTGGAGCAAAAGAACTCAAGGCTGTAAGCGTCGCTGAACCAAAACGACACTGTGCACACATGACAGGCTCCAACTGTCACCATCCAGACTGCTGTCAAACATACATGCATACAAGTCTGCACTTCCGAAGCAGGCACACTGATTTTCATAAAAACCGCACCACACACACGCACACTGCCCCTCTCTTTTGCCCAACACACATGGGCCACATAGCCCATTCTGAACAGCTGATAAGATTCCCTGTGAACTCACGCTGTCTCAGCCTGGTTTAGCACAGCAACATTGCAGCCCCCCCCTTCTCAATGAGCCTACTAAAAGGCCAGAACTGCTTACCTTTCCGACGTAGAGCCATTCCTTTAGTACCAATTCCACGCTATAAGAAGCCTGCAAAAAGGCTGAAGACTGCGCAATCCCCCCCGGTAGAATTTGAATTGAGACGCGGTGCTCCTGCTCCAAAGAGAAAAAAAAATGTGGATGAGACACCTCTCTCTCTCACTCTCTCGCCCTGCCGGTCTGGTTTCGAGGCGGCGGTGCTGATGCTGATGATGCTCGGTTTTCAAATGCCGATGGAGGACGACGAACCGATTCGTGCGGGAGAGGGATGGGATCTCCTTGCAGGGGCTGTGCGCGATGCTGCTCCGCCGCGCAGTGACAGGGAGCCAAGCGCGGTGCGTTTAGCCGCAGTTGAACCCGGAGAAGGCTGACGGGGTGATGCTGTTGCTGCTGGTGAGGCTCGGTGCCGCTATAACAGCAGCGCTCCCCCGGATCATACCACCGCACCGAGGAGAAGGGGGTGTGGCACGGAGCGGCGGACAGACACAAACAGCCTCTCTCTCCTCGTCCGGAGGTCGTCTGGATCACGACTGCGACTCATTCAGGTGATGCCATATGGCTTCAATGTTGTCCTATGCTGGAATGCTGACTCATAATTATTATTATTATGATATATGGTGGAGGTTTGGTATTTCCTGCCGAGTTTTTTTTTCTTTTTTCTAACCTTTCAGCTGATTTTTTCCAAATACCAAAATGTGTCATTCCAATGAGCAACAGGCCAACATAAACATTTTCAATATTATTAAAGTGAGTACAGAAGCTGCTTGTTAAGGAGTAAACCAATATATGTTCAGGCAAATTGTGTAGGCTAAATGCATTACAAACTGGTGTCGGTCCTTCTCATGCATACTCGTGCTTTTTAAGCATCACAAACTGCCTTTCCTGCAATCAGGGGATACACCACATTTTGATAGATTATTTACTACATTATATTTTGTCTAATATATGTTTTTAGCTGACACTTTTATCCAAAGTTACTTACATACAGCTTTATATTGTCTCTACGAGTGCAATTTAGAGTTAAGTTTCAATGTTAAATGTTAAATGTTTCAAAGTTAAGTGTCAAGGACACTTCAACATGTTTCCTGCAGGGGCAGGGGATCAAACCACTGACCCTCTGAGCCCCCTGTGCCACACATAGCCAGCCATATAAGGGATTCCCAAAATGCAGGCAGGTGACAGAATACAACTGATGGCTAATGGGAGGGCTACCCTATAAGCTAATGTATGCTTTCTGCCCTCCCACTTCTACTAAATGTTGTTTGTTTCTCGGATGTATTAGCTGTCTAATTGTTGAAATAGTAGAATGAAAAAAATAAATAATATATATATATATAGTGAAATATAATTGAATATAATGCAGTTATGCTCTCAAATGTTCTTATTCAGTGTTATCCCTGATGAATCAAAACACATGCATGATTTCCTTCTCTTTTGTGTCTTTTTTGGGGAGTCATATAAATGTGCATGTGATGATATATTCACTTACAAACACCTGGACTTTAATAGCCCACTGGGATTTTTGCACATTTACAAAAATGTCTGCATGTTCAAAAAACATTATCTGGGCATGCGATATTGTAGTATTTTAGAAAATAAATAAATATTATTGTCTTTTTTACAAAGTCATGAGCCATCAGTATCTGTCAGCCATTAGTGTATCACAAAGTTTCACTGATGACATTATTTTTTACATTTGTGATCAAAATTATTGCTAGGGACAATTCAGAAGTCGCTTGGTCTCTTACAAATTCTACGCCTTTGACTCAGGGGATAAAAAGCAAAGCAGGAAATGATCTTTACTGCTTGACTTAGAAGATAGAATCTCTAATGTATTGCTGCAGTGGGCCTGGTTTATGATAACACCTGCACATCTTCCCATAATATCTTATTTTCTAAATGATGCTCTTAATGATTCTGACCTGTGCTCTCTATGTGCGATGCATTGGTGTAAGTATCCACAGTGTGTGGCTGGTACAAACAACTTGTGAATGACAGGGGTTCTAATGATACAGTTTATTGTTTCCCCAAAGCACGGTACGCGCGGGGCTACAAACAACCATTTTGACAGCTGCTTCAGTCTATGTGCCTTCCTGCCTGTCTCGCTGTATCCCCACCACAACACAGCAGTGTGCATCTTTTTATCAACTATATAGGTTTTGGCACTTTCCATCAGTTTCATCACTGGTTCTCTCTAAATGGAGGCTGCAGGTTCACAGCAGTGGCGGGCAGAGAGTGAAATGATCCAAGGGAGCTTTAGAGAGAGAAAAGAGCTTTGAGTCCACTTCTGTTTGATAACAGTGTGTTCCTGAGACGTGGCGATCCCCAGTGAGTTTGTCATCTGGTCATGGGTTGTCGATATGAGGCTGCCAGGCCGCAGCGAGTGGCTGCCTAGTGGAACAATGGCTTCAGATTCGAATGGATTTTGATCAGGAGACCAGAGGACCTCCACGGTTCCTGAGAGCATGGCCTGGCGTTGGAGCGCTGTGTGTTTCTGAGGCTCGTGTTTGCCTGCAGAGTCCTAATGGCAGGCACATTACACCTCCAGCGGCGGCTGGGTAAACGCTCTTTTAAAAGAGCAGTTCCTCTTCTGGCGCTCGACACATCTCGCTGAGACATCTCCTTGACAACCGGCTCAATGAAGGGATTTGAAATGTCACTGTCTTTACTGTGATTCTTTTTGTATTATTATCGTCGGAGATAATAGATATTGAGAAGGGAATAGGGATGGCCTTGCTTCAAGAGAGACACAAACGTCACTTACTATTCTAGAAAAAAAAGACAAATAGGAAATGAAAGTAACATTTTGCAGGGACTTTGGAGAGGAGTTGTATGTAACATATAATACATGGATGGAAGTAGACCCAGTCTACATTTTATAGGATAATAAGCATCATTAGAGCCACATATGCTCTATTAGAGTGCATTTCAGACATAATGTCAGTTGCATTACTGTATGTTATCGGATTATAATGTAAATTGCATTCAAATGATATAAACTAATTAAATAGTATCTCATCTGGCAAAAGGAAAAGAAAACCTCAGTGTAAACAAATAGGAGAGCCCCATCTCCATAAGACCATGTTTGCTGTTCCAATTATTCCTGCCCTATTTGGACGGTGTGGAAGCACAGCTGAGCATATAGGGAGGGAAGGGGAGCGCAGAGGTGGATTTAGAGCTGGTACTCCATAAATGCGTTGTGAGAGTGAAACAAAAGAAAGAAAGCTACTGTTGCAGTTGTGAATGCTAAGATGGAGTCTGGTGAGAATAACTTGGATGGGAAGCTGTCCCTAGCCCTTCTTTTCCACATGATTAGAAGCAACTCACGACTATTAAGTGTTGTGACACATCTGTTAGGGCGAAACACCCCAGGCCAAAACATTGTTTTCTTCATGCACTGGTCAATGCTGAGAGTATTTAGCTTCCATGACATGCATACAAGACTGTAGTGGGAAGAAAACACAAAAATACACATTTAGGTGCTTATGTAAATAACATTGTCTATTTGGGATTGTTGAGTTCTCCTAAATTCACCAAAAGTTAGCATTACATAATGCCTCATTTGCATATTTAAACATAAAAAAGACACATAGTAAAGTCTTAAAGGGGCGCTACAATGCTCATTTTCAGTATCATAAGTGTATTCTGTGCCTCTAATGTGAAATGTTTACACACTCTAATGTTCAAAAAGGTCTTTATCTTTCTCTGCAGCACCTATTTTCACCATCTGTCTGAAACCAGAGCCCAGTCTGCTCTGATTGGTTGGCTCTGTTGTGATTGTAGATATATCCTGCCCTTTAGCCTGTTCAACCTGTTGGAACGCTAATAGCAGTGTAAATGTGACATAGTGATACATGTTAGAGTGTTAAACAAAGGAGTCTTAGGCGTTTCAGGCAGGGGGGGGGAACTCCCTCTGGAGGGAACTTTGGGATGTTTGCCTTTGCAGACCATTTACATGCACAGAAACCTATATAATACACTACAGGAAAGGGCAACCCCCAAAAAGCATAATAGGGCCCCTTTTATGTTAGTAATCAACTTGGGAAGTTTCATGGTTATATTTATACGTACATTATTTACCCCAATTATTTCTACTGCCCTGTAAAAGGTATTGATTTTACATTAATCTAAGGACTGGTTTACAAACAAATAAGAATTGTATTTTATTATGCATACTCATAGCCATTATTCTCTACTTCAGTAGCACTTGCTTTTCATTTTTATTCCCATCTATATTCTGAAGGCTTTTACAGAGGTGTTTGTTCATATATAAGTCATCACCTTATTATAGATCAAAAATATGTATTTGTTTATGGCTTTTAGGAGTATTTTCAGTTGTATGGAACCATACATCCCCTCTGTGAAAACGCTCTTGACCATAATATGTAAAAAAAGAAATTATGGAACTTATTTATTAAGATAATATTTCCATATTTAAACATATAATCAAATCAGAAAACTTGTAATAATGAAAGTAATCAAAAGGGAAGGTTTCATCATTTTAAATGTACCCTAATAACCTGTAGTGTCTCCCCTTAAAACCTGAATTACGACATATATATTACACGGCAATTGGCAAGAGAAAAGAGATAGATCTGTAATGCATCCTTACCTTAATGCTCCTTCAAGCCCTAGCAGTAATATCGGCTTTGAGAATCCCTGCACTACTTCACTTCACAGCTGGAGGCTCTTCCACTGAGCATTATTTAGTCTCGTACATGCATACTGCAAAGCCAAGACAGTTTTTCTCCTCAGAATTCTGTGTTCCTCGTAGGCTGTGATCGATTGGCCAGTGATCCATCCTTCCACTATAGTACACAAGGTGAATGTTGCATGCTGTAAGTAGAAAACTAACAATTACCCTCTAATTTCTGCAATTCTCCTTACTGATTTTCCTGCTATCATCCTCTTTGTCTCCTCCTCGTTCCCTTGCCTCTTCCTACCTTTGTATTCTTCTGATATCTTCTCCTGTTCCTCTTTTGTTTTCAACTCATTGCTTCACCCTGTGTCCACCCAATCCCCCTGCCTGTAGCTCCATCTCTCTCTGGGGTGGTGTTGCTGCAGGGGGCTTCTCCTTTTCAGTAATGAGGGATCTTGGATCAATGCTGTCAACAATGCTCACCGGCTGAACCTGTATTACCCTGGCCTCGAGGTGGAATCCTGATCTCCAGAGGTGTTAAGAGTTAACTAGGGTATTCTTTCTCAGGGAGGGTGTTAGGGACGTGCTCCGTCACTCTCTCTCTCTCCTCTGTTCTCCACCAGCGCTCCAGCTCCACCCACCCGGCTGTACAGTTTGAGTGCTTCACAGGACACACAGCCGACCATTTATTGAAATCTTCTTTTAAATGACAGAGCTATGACCTTTCCCGATGCATGCGCTCCACGACCATAAATTCTCAGATTTCATTTTACATTTTCCTCCGAGCATTTCACAACCAAATTACACCTGCAAAGCCTTCAACCTATGGGCAGGGATCCAGTATTTTTACCCACAATTATTACTTTCTTTAAGTTCCAAATGGTCCTTTAGCACTTTTTGGATGGG